TAAATGAGTAAAAGGACAAGGACACAGATGTAAATGGAGGAAAAAAAAGGGCCTATTGGAGTGGGAGAGCGGGGTCTGGCCGTGGGTCACAGGGCTGCCAGCTCTTCCCGACTTGGCTGCAGGTGACCTGCCCTTCCAGGCCTCAGTTTCCTCTTTGCAATAAGGGTGCTGATCTCATATTACACGACTTTATGTTTCCTTCTAGTCCATTTTAGGGCTAAACTTTAAGAAAAATCTCTTCTGACCAAAGTCCCCTTTTGATTTCCAGCTCTGCAGGTTGGGGAGCCTTCTAGAAACTGGCTCCTGATGTTGGTCATTGCCGGGCAGAGGGCAGTGACTTCTTAGACCAAAACGATCAGACCAAGCTCATCCCCCATGCCCTTTCCCAGAACTGCCCTTTCTGCTGGCGGAGGCAGCCCTGTGGCTCTCCCATAACCCCTCGTGGGATCAGGGGTCACAGCTCCCATCCCCCCTCACCTCCAGTACCAGCTGGCCTGCCAGTTTCTGTGCACCAGCAGTGGGATCTCCTGCCCAGTGTGGGCTCCACCTGCGCTTGCTTGGATTTTGGATGTGCCTGTACCAGTGTCGCCCATTCCCACCCCAGCCAGCAGCGCCTGTGCCCCTGGGGATTTTGGAGCTCAAGTTTAGCTCATGGTTTTGGAAAGAGACAGCTAACAAGGGAGGCACTCGATACTCTGTGGCTTTGTTAAAGCTGCTTTTGTGAATGGGGCAAGAGATTCCTCGCCCATAAAACAGGGGTGGTATCCACAGGACCAGACACTGGGTTGTCTCTCGTGCGAGGGCATCGAATTTATATGTGTAGCATTCATGTCACAGCCGTGTTCGTTAATTGAGAACACGAGGGTAGGCATGGAATCAGAGAGGGAGGTGTGAACCCCTCCACACACACACTGGCACACTCACCTACACGAGGCTGCCTTCCCGTCCTAACCAGGTCCGGTCACCCCCCAAGGGTACTTCTTTCAACTATGCTCAAAGCCCAGTTCTCGATCCTTCCTTCATTCTGAAGCTGACAAGTGGCAGGTGGCAGGTTGGGGGTGGGGGGACACAGTGTGCATGCTGCCTGAGATGTGTGGCCCTGGTGTCAGAGTAAGCGAGTAACAGTAGGGTACACTTGTATACACAGCCGGGGAATGTCCACTGGGATGCTGGAAAGATGCCCCAGGCAGAACTACCCAGGTTGTCCAATAATGTAGCAATTATAATCTTTTTTCTTGGCTCGAGGAAAGATTGATGTATGCTAATGGTGGCCCTCAGAATCTATTCATTCAACAAGTATTTTTTTTGAACATCATGTGTTTAGATACTGTCCCAGCCCCACTGGTCTTGGAATCCTCTGTTGACCTTCACAGACCAAATGATGTAGATATGGGACACTGGTATGCTTTGAACACTGGAAATACACACGTGTAAGTGACACTCTAGGAGGGATGATGAGGATGGTGATGGTTCTTGGATTCTCAGGGCAAGATCTCATTGGCTGTCAGGGACTGTCATGGGGCGGTGGATAAGATGGATCAGGAACACGGCAATGGGCCATTCAAATGTGCAAAACTGCTCAGCCGCCCTCCTGCCCCATCAGGCCCAGGCTGATGGCCTGGGGGAGGCAGTGGCCACAGAACAGGAGCCCTCCCCACTGCAGTGACTGTAACCACAGAAGGGGCAGCAGGGAGGAGGTGCTGGGGGCCGGAGAAGCATGTGGTGGGCTCAGCCCAGGTGGCTTTCCTTCGCTTGTCCTGCCTGCCCACTCTGATTTCTCTGATTTCCTCCCTCCCCCTGTTCCTTCTGACGCTTTCTTACCTGTCCTCTCCCAGTCCCTGATGGGGATGGTCCAAGTTATTCCCCAAAGTCTTGAAGGGCCCAGATTCACAAGGTTGTACACTCTGAGGTTCCGGTTCCTGCATTTGAGGGCAGCAGTGGCCTCAGGAGACCTGGCAGGGATTGGGCTGGCTCCTCAAGATGCTTCATTGGAGTTTCAGCTTGGAGCCACGGCTGGGACTGCAGCTTGACATGCACCTGGCTTCAGGCAGCGTGGCTGTGCATGCGTGGGAAGTGATGTAGCATAAAGGACATTTGAAAAATTCAACACTTTTGAGATGCCTCTCCCCCTTGCTCACAAGAGGCAGTAAATATTTTTCATCCCCTCAAAATATTTCTCTATGTGTCAGGGTCCCTACAAGAAATGTGGTTGAAGACAGTGCACCCTCAGAGACATGGGGGACTATTGATGCAGTAGTGGGCAGGGGTCTAGAAGCCAAGGTGTAGTGAGACCCCCAGGGAACAGCGGGAAGCTGGTGCTACTGCTGGGCCTGAAGGGGCCTGGGGAAGAGACGGTGTTCCTGGAATCCAGCCATGAAGGACCAGAGCATCTGCCAGAACCGCCCACCCTGTGAAGTGGGAAGAAACACCCTGAACTTTCCTCCTGCGGGTGTCTTGTGCTGGAGGGCAAGTGAGCCCAGGCGTTGCTGGTGGAGGGCTTGGCCTCTTGGAGACACAGAGCAGGGCAAGGAAGCAGGGAGAAGGGGTCTGAGGGGGAGGGAGAGGTAGAGATTGACCAGGACAAGGTCCTAATCCTCTTGTTTTCCTGTTTGGCAAGTTTGACTTTCTATATATTGAGTTTTCTTAAAATAGCCACAGTTAATGATGTATCTAAGGTATGATCATAAAGTAATACGACAGTTTTTGTTTTAAACAAACACACTCGGGAGGTGCTACGCTGATGTCTGTGGAAGTTCTGCTGTTAAGAATATTTTTGTCCCCTCTCTTTTGGAATTGCTCTCCACGTTTCCTGTACATTAAAAAACAAAACAAAACAATTTCCTTGGGGAAACACAGATCTTCCTCTCCTGAGGCTTGCAAATAACCAGAGGACCTGGAAGATACTCCAGGG